TACTTACAAACCCAATACAAACAATATCTCAATACTTACAAACAATGTCCAGATACTTACAAACACAGCAGCTGGTAGGGGATGATTCTGACAGGGACACAATGTGCAAGGGTACTTACAAACCCAATACAAACAATATCTCAATACTTACAAATACAGCAGTTGGTAAGGGATGACTCTGACAGGGACACCATGTGCAAGGATACTTACAAACCCAATACAAACAATATCTCAATACTTACAAACAATGTCCAGATACTTACAAACCAGATTGTTAACCAGTGTGTTGATTAGCAGGTTTTTAACCAGTATATTGACATGTTCTAACATGGCATATGATCTCTCAAATGTAACAATGTATAACACTGTAACATATTCTATGAATCGTATCACCGTACACCATTGCAAGTTACTTGATAAACTAACACTTGCTTGAAATGCAACATAGCATGTTCTTTTCAAACTAAATCTTGTGAATTGAATAGTTTATTTCTGTACCTCACAGATTCTTCAACTTGCTTGTTCTAAGTGTACAGGTGTTTACCAACGTAGGAAACTGGTACTACCATTCAGTTGAATATATATAATTGTAATAATACGTAGAAAATGAACAGGTGGTACTTGTTTGTTTTGTAACTGCATTGTTTATATTTTCTTTTTTGCGTTCATTTTCTACATAATATTACAATTGATTATATATATATATATATATTCAACTGAATGGTAATACCAGTCTCCTATGTTGGTAAAAAAGTTAGTTTACTCATTAACTTCTTCATAGGATCACGAACACCTAATAACAAACAGTAGTAAGATAAGAAACTAGTCTCTGATGAGGTAGAACTAATGAGGTACTTTTATCAAACTACAGCTGTGTTTCAACAGCGATGATATCATGTACTTATTTCATTGAAAATGTACTGTAAGAAGCCTTTAATTTTTAATGTTACAGATTATATCCTATCAAATATTGATGATCAAAGTTTTGTAACAGTTTGAAATGAAAGTAAAAACTCAATGATCACATGAGCATGGGAACCAGAATCTACAGTATTGTGACAATGGTTTTGAACTTGTTTGATCAAAGTGTAATGCAAATATTTGTAGTTTTGTTTATATATATTTTTTTTTTGCCAACTCGCATGTTGTAATTTTGCACAATATTCTTTGTTTTTCTGCACTTCCTTGTGTCCCTGTCAGAATCATCCCCTACCAGCTGCTGTATTGATTACCAGATTGTTAACCAATGTCTTGATTACCAGATTGTTAACCAATGTCTTGATTACACATTGGTTAACAATCTGGTAATCAACACATTGATTAAATATCTGCTAATCAAGACATTGGTTAACAATCTGGTAATCAACACACTGGTTAAATACCTGCTAATCAAGACATTGGTTAACAATCTGGTAATCAACACACTGGTTAAATACAAAGTAAATATCTGATTGATTAAGACTCTGGTAATATTTTAAATAACAGATTGGTTGAAATTAGACATCACACTTTGATAACCTTTTGGTAAACATTATTCAAACACCTGGTAAACATGCTTAAAAATATAAAACCCAGTCACAAGTATAATAATAATAATAAAATTATAAGACAAATGGATATTTATACATATTTAACATAGCCAGCTATAGTAACATAGAAAATTTTAATGCTACAAAAAGTATTGAAACAAGAAAGTTAAAACTACAAAAACTGAGTTCCTTAAAATTGAAAACATTTTATCTCTACTTTGACAAATCACTGTAATTTTGTCAGTCTGTAATTTTGTCAGTCTGTAATTTTGTCAGTCTGTAATTTTGTCAGTCTGTAATTTTGTCAGTCTGTAATTTTGTCAGTCTGTAATTTTGTCAGTCTGAGCCAAAAGTAGGGTTAAATTTTAAGTAACTCAGTTTTTATAGTTTTCAATTTCGTGTTTAAATACTTTTTGTAGCATTAAAACTTTCTTTATTACTTTAGCTGGCCTGGCGGTTAGAGTGCCTGAGTCGCAATCTGCGGGTCCAAATCCCCTCCCACCAATCATGCTCACCCTTTCAGCCGTGGGGGCATTATAATGTGGTAGTCAATCCCACTATTCAGTGGTAAAAGAGTAGTTGGCAGT